TATATATATATATATATATATATATATATATATATATATTACAATATATTATATATATATATATATATATATATATATATATATATATATATATATATATAAATATATATAAATATATATAATTATGTCTAATATAGTATCAATGATTTCACTTTTTTTAGACAACTATTTTAATAAAGCAGGTGCTCGCATACTTACGGATGAAGGTGTGCACGTTAATTCACAGATTTCGATAATAGAAGAAAGCGAACTTTGTTTTAGTTTGAGCGAAATAAATGACTCTGCTGTATAAATCTAGCGTTGAAGGAAAAGAAAGAAGTTGCATTTAGCGCCCGTTTCACGCGATTTATGCAGAAAAATTTGATAATGTTCGAAGAGTAATAGCAAGTAATTTAACCTTTTAGGTACGGCTGAATTCTGCGCGAGGCTATTTCTCTGGACGGCAGAGTCTGATACCTGTCTCTTATACACATCTAGATGTGTATAAGAGACAGATAGTGGCTTGCTCTAGTAGCTCACTCGCTCATCGCTGTCTCTTATACACATCTAGATGTGTATAAGAGACAGAAGGTGCACACCCTCGTCCATCAGTATGCGAGCACCTGCTTCATTAAAATAGTTGTCTAAAAAAAGTGAAATCATTGATACTATATTAGACTAATTAGATGTGTATAAGAGACAGAAGGTGCACACCCTCGTCCATCAGTATGCGAGCACCTGCTTCATTAAAATAGTTGTCTAAAAAAAGTGAAATCATTGATACTATATTAGACTAATTAGATGTGTATAAGAGACAGAAGGTGCACACCCTCGTCCATCAGTATGCGAGCACCTGCTTCATTAAAATAGTTGTCTAAAAAAAGTGAAATCATTGATACTATATTAGACTAATTAGATGTGTATAAGAGACAGAAGGTGCACACCCTCGTCCATCAGTATGCGAGCACCTGCTTCATTAAAATAGTTGTCTAAAAAAAGTGAAATCATTGATACTATATTAGACTAATTAGATGTGTATAAGAGACAGAAGGTGCACACCCTCGTCCATCAGTATGCGAGCACCTGCTTCATTAAAATAGTTGTCTAAAAAAAGTGAAATCATTGATACTATATTAGACTAATTAGATGTGTATAAGAGACAGAAGGTGCACACCCTCGTCCATCAGTATGCGAGCACCTGCTTCATTAAAATAGTTGTCTAAAAAAAGTGAAATCATTGATACTATATTAGACTAATTAGATGTGTATAAGAGACAGAAGGTGCACACCCTCGTCCATCAGTATGCGAGCACCTGCTTCATTAAAATAGTTGTCTAAAAAAAGTGAAATCATTGATACTATATTAGACTAATTAGATGTGTATAAGAGACAGAAGGTGCACACCCTCGTCCATCAGTATGCGAGCACCTGCTTCATTAAAATAGTTGTCTAAAAAAAGTGAAATCATTGATACTATATTAGACTAATTAGATGTGTATAAGAGACAGAAGGTGCACACCCTCGTCCATCAGTATGCGAGCACCTGCTTCATTAAAATAGTTGTCTAAAAAAAGTGAAATCATTGATACTATATTAGACTAATTAGATGTGTATAAGAGACAGAAGGTGCACACCCTCGTCCATCAGTATGCGAGCACCTGCTTCATTAAAATAGTTGTCTAAAAAAAGTGAAATCATTGATACTATATTAGACTAATTAGATGTGTATAAGAGACAGAAGGTGCACACCCTCGTCCATCAGTATGCGAGCACCTGCTTCATTAAAATAGTTGTCTAAAAAAAGTGAAATCATTGATACTATATTAGACTAATTAGATGTGTATAAGAGACAGAAGGTGCACACCCTCGTCCATCAGTATGCGAGCACCTGCTTCATTAAAATAGTTGTCTAAAAAAAGTGAAATCATTGATACTATATTAGACTAATTAGATGTGTATAAGAGACAGAAGGTGCACACCCTCGTCCATCAGTATGCGAGCACCTGCTTCATTAAAATAGTTGTCTAAAAAAAGTGAAATCATTGATACTATATTAGACTAATTAGATGTGTATAAGAGACAGAAGGTGCACACCCTCGTCCATCAGTATGCGAGCACCTGCTTCATTAAAATAGTTGTCTAAAAAAAGTGAAATCATTGATACTATATTAGACTAATTAGATGTGTATAAGAGACAGCGATGAGCGAGTGAGCTACTAGAGCAAGCCACTATAGTGGCGCGTCGCGTGCCTAAAAGGTTATTAGCAAGCACAAATATCAAATGTTGTTCGACTGTTGAAACGACTTCGTAACTGTGTCTAATAAACATTGCGTGCTCGCATTGATCCAACTTACCCATAAGTTGATGGGGTTGCTGTTGAGGGGCTGTGTGCATGGCGGTCTGAGGTGGTTTGTGTCCGGAGCCGCTGCTACTCGCGGAGCTCTCGCTGGACAACATCGAGACCGTGTCCGAGAATGCGCTGTCATTGTCAGGACTATCGGTTCGCATGGCTGTAACAAACAGTTGGCGCCCGTTGAAGAAAGTCGCGGCAATGTTAGAACAAATTAATTACGCAGTTATGAGTTGGAACCGGCTGTTTCAAGTCTAGTAGACACTGATATCTAAGGTAAACTGACAACAGCACATGCACGGAGTTCCTAGAGAAACCAGCTCTCGGTCGTGTTTTCACGTTGCTTGCGATCCGCGCGCGCGCGAGTGTAACGACGATTTTTTAGCAGTGGGGAAACTCGACGAAACTTGAAAGAAAAGTGCAAAAATGCAATTTACTGCGCCGCACTGCTTGTACACGAAACAGCACAGGTAGCATCAGTGATTTTATTGGGTTGTCCGGAAAGTTCGTGCCGATTTTCGGTAGGTAGCGTGAGAGACCTGACCGAATATATCACAATTATTGAAAACAAATGACATGTGTACATATTCTAAAAGAGATAACTTCAGCCATATTTGGAAAAAAGGTTGTTTACGATTCGTTAATTTTTATCAGTTTTGTACGCCTTAGAATATCGTGGCAAATAAAGTGCATTATAGGCATTTGATGCTTTTCTTTCTCCGAAAGGGCAAAAATGCCACACAAGCGGCAAATAAGATACGCGCTGTTTATGGCGAGAATGCTGTAGCCGAAAGAACCACGTGGAAGCGGTTTGCTCGGTTTAAAGCTGGAAATTTCGACCTTGAAGATCAAGAACGCCCAGGTAGGCCGTCCACCACAGACGAAGATATGATTAGAACAGAAATCGAGAATAACCCACGCTCAACATTACGACAATTAGCAGGAATGCCAAATAAATCAAAATCAACCATCCACGATCATATTGTGAAGCTTGGCTATGCAAAATCGGCACGAACTTTCCGGACAACCCAATAGATTCATTTTATTACTCTCGGATCAAACGTCGAAGACGTTCTCATTGAACGACACAGCCTCTTTTTTTATTCATTTATCTATTAGATCGGTGCATGTGAAATGTCCGATTCTCTTCGCATGCGAACGCGTTTGTCTCCCTGTTTTCGTTATGCTTCTGTCTTTGGCATAGCCTCGCTTATTCGTTTGCGTACCAGATGGTTTTGAAAAAACAGGATCGGAAAGCGCCGAAGAGCGCGATAGCGCTCCTTCGATCATGTGTCGAGAAAAGCCGAAGAGCGCAATAGCGCTCCTTCGATTATGCGTCGAAAAAAGCCGTGAAACATAAAATAAAACGTCACGAATGAAAATATATATACTATTAATTTAGAATAGGTAACAACAAAATGCAAATTGGATTACAGACAGCGATGCGATGCGCGACGTATACACGCGTCCGAAAGACTGAGCACGTTTCGACAAATTTCGGGTGGGCCGTAAAAGTCGTCTGTTTCGGCCAAATGCCCTGGCTTTTCTCGACACAAAATCTGAAGAGCGCAAAAGTGGCTCGTGGTACGCAAACGGTTAATGCGATGTTATTGATGATCGTTGATGTTAGCGAACAGTTGTTCACGCTTGCAGCGAACTCGAATTTTCACGGCTCTACCGGTCCATTTGTTGATACACAGTGAACTCCCATGAATATTCGGACACTTTTTAAAACACAATGACTTTTTTTTTTTAAACTGGAATAAACGATTTGAATTTTTTTGTTTAGATCATAGGGGGGACCAAAATCTGAAGAGCGCAAAAGTAGCTCGTGGTACGCAAACGGTTATACTCGTACTTGTCCATTGCCAGAGTCACATTTCAACAAGGAAGATTGTCTCGAAAGTGTTCCATTTTGTTATTTGTTTCGAATTTCGCGAGGATATGAATTCAACCGATATTCATGTGTGTGTGTGTGTGTGTGTGTGTGTGTNTGTTCTCGTTACGCTCTTGTTTTCGGCATAACCTCGTTTATAGTCGTACTGTCCACAGCTAAAGTCACATTTCAACAAAGATGATTTTCTCAAAAGTGTTCCATTTTGTTATTTGTTTTGAATTTCGTAAGGATATGAATTCAACCAATATTCGTGTAACTGTTTTTTATGAGTATAAACTTGGTAACAACGCTGCAAAAGCTGCAATATAAGCGCAATATAAACCAGACGTTTGGGGAGGATACTGTTAACGATCGAAAAGTGCAGCGTTGCTTTGAAAATGTTCGGTCTGGTGATTTTTTTCCTACAAATTGAACCGTGCGGAAAACCCACAATGTCCGTGGAAAATGATACTCTGAAAGCATTGATGGAAACGAATGTAACCGGAGTAATTCGCTACTCGTTCCTTCGAACAGAGGAGACAATTACAGTCGAAAAGTACTGCCGGTACATTGATGAAATGCATGAAAAATTGAAAATTATAGGCTCGTCGCTTGTTCATTGGCATCGCTTGCTAAATGAATTTAAATATGAAACTTTGCAGCAGCCAGCTTATTCGCCGTATCTTTCGTCAACCGACTTCCATTTTTTTTTTTTAAACACTTAGAACAGTTTTTACGGGCTAAACAGTATGAAAATGAAGACAGCCTGAAAAATTCCATATCAGAGTTTATTGATTCGAAAGATCAGAATTTCTTTAAAACAGGCATCTATGCGTTAAAATCTCGTTGGGAACAGCTTATGATGTAAGTAGTAAAAATGTAAAGTTNTAAATTTGTAAACCTGTAAAGTTGTAAATTTGTAAATCTATAAATCTATATATATATATATATATATATATAAACCTATAAATCTATATAAATCTATAAATCTATGAATCTATGAATCTATAAATCTATAAATCTATAAATCTATAAATCTATA